GCACAGACACCAGCAGTGACTTTCATTCTTTCTTTCCAGTGACTCCAGTCACCTGGAGTGCTGGGTCCAGTTCTGGGCCCCACACTACAAGAAGGATGTGGAAAAATTGGAAAGAGTCCAGCGGAGGGCAACAAAAATGATTAGGGGGCTGGAGCACATGACTTATGAGGAGAGGCTGAGGGAACTGGGATTGTTTAGTCTGCAGAAGAGAAGAGTGAGGGGGGATTTGATAGCTGCTTTCAACTACCTGAAAGGGGGTTCTAAAGAGGACGGATCTAGACTGTTCTCAGTGGTGGCAGATGACAGAACAAGGAATAACGGTCTCAAGTTGCAGTGGGGGAGGTTTCGGTTGGATATTAGGAAACACTATTTCACTAGGAGGGTGGTGAAGCACTGGAATGGGTTACCTAGGGAGGTGGTGGAATCTCCTTCCTTGGAGGTTTTTAAGGCCCGGCTTGACAAAGCCATGGCTGGGATGATTTAGTTGGGGATTGGTCCTGCTTTGAGCAGGGGGTTGGACTAGATACCTCCTGAGGTCCCTTCCAACCCTGATATTCTATGATTGTGGCTGCTGTTCCTATGAGCAGAAAGTTGGTTACAAGTCGCTTAGAGATGACCTCCCATCGGCTGAGGCTTTAGCCCTCCCACAGGTTTCCAGAATTAACATCTGCATGATAAGCAGGGCTCAGACCTGTAGCCAGTTATTCCAAGTGGTGGGTTCCAGGCATAGTTGGGGGGATGGGATGGTCCCTTTGTGGCCCCCTGCTGGAGGCCCTGCAGTCCTCCTACAACCTGCCTAGGGAAGGAGGCGTAGAGAGGCCTGATGGAAGCAGCCAATCAGAGTCCAGCAGGCTCAGATAAAAGGATTTGCGTGGCCTTAGAATTAGAAGGTCATTTCTGGCTGGGATCCGATGGGCAGCATGTGGCACGGCATGGTGCGGCTCTCCGCTCCAGCCATGGGATTTCACTGCATTTGCTTAAGCTGGGGGAGAGAGACCCTGAGAACTTCAACCTTGAGCTAAGGGGTGAAGACAAAGGGTCCATCTGGGACAGACATGTCAAACCTGCGGGAAAAAACACGGAAATTGGGCTTGTTTCTGGTTTAATTGGCTTGTGAGTTGCTTGTTGGCTAATTTGTGGCTTGTTGCTTGTTTGGCTTGTAGCTTGTTGCTTCTTCTTTGGCTCCAGGCAAGGGGGGGAGAGAGTCAGGGGTGCACAGCGGGCCCACCCCAGTCCCAGATTGCACGCCCGGGGGATCTAGTCACACAGAGTGGGGGGGTTCTTAGGGATTGGCTTGTTTTGGCCTTGTTTTGAAATGGGATTCGTTTGATTTTTGGCTTATGGTGAAAGTCGGGGGGCTTATTTACCGGGTGAAAGTTGGCAACTGGGATCTGGGAAGAGGCCCAGGGAACTAGCAGCCACTAATTGCAGTGAGCAGTACGTGGCGGCCGTGGATAGGGTCCCTGGGTTGGAACCCAGCATAGTAGGCACTCCCGGGTTCCTTCCCGGCCACCAGCAAAGTGGTATAAACCCTGAGAAAGGGACAAGACTCATTGGGGAGCCCAAGCAAAGGGCTGAATTTACAGGGCACAGAGCCAGGGCTGAAGGGTAGACAGACAGTTCTGTTGGACTCTTTGCTACTGTGGAAGGAGTTCGTTTTGATTGTGTGACTAGACTGGAGGAGTGAGCCACTCAAGATCTGCCAAGCGTGGTTGACCATCTATGGGGTGCCAGGAGTGGGAAAAGGCCTGAATATGGCACGCAGCAGCTGGAGACACCCAAGAGGAGAGTGGATCATTTCCCCCCCGTAACAGGGATTCAGCTGAGTTATTTATAGCACTCATCGGAGAGGTTTCAGTGGCCCCTGTTCCTTGTTGTGCCAGGGAAAGTGGAGTTGTTAAAGCAAATGTTGTAATTTGCTGTGTGAATTGGTGGTAACTGCTGTCTATAGGCAGTGACTAGTCTGGAACTCCCAAGAGAGGAATTTGAAGAAATGTGGAGGATGTTCCTTACTCTGTAAAACAATATGCAATGCCAGTTCAGGAGCATCCGTTCAGCCTGGAAAAAGGTCATTGCTGGGAGTGGCACAGCTGGTTTGCTTTAGGAGCCACACCTCTTGGGCAAAAGATAACACACAACTTCCAGCTCTTTAGCCTTGTCCTTATCTCCTCGAGAGTCATTGTGATATGGTTACTAACAGACCACGTTGGCTGGTGGAACACAATAGCAGATAACACACTGGCTGGGGTGCATTGCTGCCCTGCGCTGGTAAAATATGAACTGTTCACCTGGGTGTCATAGGCACTATACAGCTAATGGAGATTCTCTCTTTGCTCAAGTGGCGGAGGCCTGTGCTTTCGGATGGAATGGAGGAGGTGGGTGAGGCGCCTGTTTGTCTTGTAACTGTTGCAGTTGTGCCTGCAGTGTCTGCACCCCTCCACTCCACCCTGGCAAGTATTGCCAGGAGAGACCATAATGGTTTGGGCCATTTCCGAAAGGGGCCTTTGCTTTTGGCTGCCTTTGTTTTGGGGAGCAACATCTTGGGGTCCCCAAAAAACAGAGATCCCTGTTCAACCATGGCCTGTAGAAATAGCCATGATGAGCAGTGTTAAAGTTCCTGCGGCAACCCAAGAAGCTTTCAGTCTGCTTTGGGCCCGGACTGAGCAGTCGGCGCTGTGGTGTAGGGACCTGGACTCAGCTGCCCGTCCAGTCTGAGATTCAGGTGGCCATTGCCTTTGTTTCCGGGGCAGGTGTACTAAGCCCTGCTGTTGTCTAGTTCTACCTCACACCAAGGAAAGCACAACCCAAACAACAACCGTGGCCAGCGTCTGGCACTCTCTCCTAGCGAGCTTCTGCCTGAGGAATGGTTTCAGAGGAGCAGCCGTGTTCGTCTGTGTCAGCAAAAACAACGAGGCGTCCTTGTGGCACCTTGGAGACGAACACATTTATTTGGGCATAAGCTTTCGTGGGCTAGAACCCACTTCATCGGATGCATGGAGTGGAAAATACAGTAAGCAGTATATATATTACAGCACATGAAAAGATGGGAGTTGCCTTACCAAGTGGGGGGTCAGTGCTAACGAGCCAGTTCAATTAAGGTGGAAGTGGCCTATTCTCAACAGTTGACAAGAAGGGGTGAATACCAAGGAAGGGAAACTTACTTTTGTAGTGCTAACGAGGCCAATGCAATCAAGGTGGCCCATTTCCAGCAGTTGACAAGAAGGTGCGATTATCAGCAGAGGGAAAATTACTTTTTGTAGTGACCCATCCACTCCCAGTCTTTATTCAGGCCTAATTTGATGGTGTCCAGTTTGCAAATTGAATTCCAGTTCTGCAGTTTCTCGTTGGAGTCTGTTTTTGAAGTTTTGTTGTTGAAGAATGGGTGACCTTGAGGATGGCCAAGCTGGCAGAGTAAGGAATGCAGCCCGGCTTCTTAGCTGTGCTGTGATCAGGCTCCAGTGAAAGCATGGAGCTCTCCATGCCCCCCTATAGCCCTCTGCAGAACTGGCGCCTTCCTCCCCTTTGCAGTCCCCATGCAGGCTACTCCCAGGGGCCCTGCTGAAGAGAAGGAGAGAGAGGAGTCCGGGAACTGGGAGCTTATTCTCAGCCTCTCCGAAATGTCAGCAGGTGTCACAGGTTTTGCGGTGCTGCGTGCTCTATATTGCCCCGTTCCTAGTTGAAAGGTCCCATTGTGGGGATATCAGCCAGCTCCCCTAACTCTCTGGGCTGCTCCCCACCTTGCAGCATCCAACGAGGCAGACCCTGCCCTCTGTGTAGGGCGCTGCTGGCTGTGGTCACCATCTCTGATGCTGCCCAGGTTCCTAAGTGTACAGTGCTGGGCACTGAGGATCTGGGCAGCAGCATTGCCATGCTTAGGCTGGATTTCCTTTGTAACACCCTCTCTCGTAACAGCTCGCCCTTCTGTGCACGCAGCTTGTCTGAGCCTGGCTGTCTAACCACGCACTGTCTGGTTGAGTGATGCGGCTCTGGCTGTTCCGTGGAGCTGAATGTTGTTTCACTTTTCCCAGGCCCTGCCCACGCTCTGCTACTGCATTTCTGTTGGCTTGTTGATTTTCTTAAGGTTTTAGCATCTCTTATTTTCGTTATGATCATTTATCTCTTTGCGGCATTTACTGTGGGACTCGGCTCAGAATCCCCAAGGAGGGGTTCAGAGCAGCCCTCACTGTATAAAAGGAATGCAGCAAGTATTCTGAAATAGCCTTCTCTAGGTGTGTAGCTTAGGTCTGCCCAGTGACTAATGGGGAACGTTTTATGGAGGGGAGTGTGACTTAGTGGTTAGAGGAGGGGAGCGGAAGCCAGGACTCCTTTCTATTCCTAGCTCTGCCTCTGACTCCCTCTGTGAGCTTGAGAAAGTCATGCTGACTGCTCTGTGCCTCAGTTTCCCCATTGTAAAATGAGGCAAAAGAATTTTTCTGTCTCCCGAAAGGGGTGTAAGGATGAGTGAATTACTGTTTAAAGCATTTGAGTTCCTTGAATGAAAGCATCTCTGCGAGCTGATTGTTATTACACTGCTGATGCCCTGCCCTAGTACCAGTAGTGGTGCAGAATTAACAATAGACCTAGGGCACCAGCATGTCGAGATTTTTATGGAGGGAGGTTGGGAGCTTGAGTCCCACTTGTCTAGAACTAATCCTGAGCCTCCAGGGAAGCTAATATGTTGGGGTAGGAGATCAGCCTGTGCGAGGACCACAGTGAGGTATGTGATTGGAACATGTTGGTGAATGAACGCCACATCACTGTGATACCAATGCTCCGCACTAGCATCATGGCAGGGGGGCCTCTGCCACACACCACTAAGCCCGGGCACTGGGGTTCCAGTACCCAGCTTGGGTCTCCCTGGCATTCCTCTCCTAAAAGTCCCCTCTTCCTGCTGCTCCTTGATGCTTGTCATTATTCATTATCCCCCTCCTCCTCCTCCTTCTCAAATGGCTAGTAAGTTCTCCTTTGCTGAATTCTAATGTGTGTGTTCTTCTCTACAGAGGAAGAGAGGCACCTTCAGGCAAACAATCGGGACTTTAATCTGGAGTTCGAATATGTTGTAAGTAACAATCATATGTTTAATGCAGAACAATTGCCAGGGCTGCTTCATGGGACACCAGCTCACCTGCAAGTTTCCTTCCAATCGGAAGTGTATTGTGGGTATGTGGATTTGTTATTGTAGGGTCACTCGTGCGCATGTTGGGGAGCGCTCTGTAAACAAAGTGCTGAAGTCTGTTTTAAAAAAAAAATCGTATAAAAATTCCTTGGACTTTATCAAAAGATCTACATGAGGCTGGTCACTGTCTGTCCCTGGCAGCCTTTCAGTAATGACATAGGGGTGCACGGGGGAACCTGGTTGGTCAGTAGAGTCAGGCACTGGGAGTTTCATCTCTGGCATCTGTTCTGCAAGCAGGGCACTAATAAAGGACCTGATCCTGCAAAACCATACCCTAGAGATGTCACACCTGCAGCTAGGCTCATTGAGCTCACTCGGGTAAAGAGACTTGTGTGCCTGTTTGTAGGACTGGGCCCCAAGACTTTACAATAAGCTTCATGCTCACGGCAGCATGACCTGGATGTTTTTCAGTGGTTCTTTTTCATGCCTGGACCAAGCCAAACACCTGGGAGACTCGCATGGGACAGGACCGCTGCATGCACATTGAACGCACAATGTGCACACAGGGTGAAATGTGCAAGGCCTTTATACCACTTCTGCCCTTCGGTCTTGGTGATATGGGATTGGGAAGGTGCATTTTATGCACATGGGGCCTGGCAATGCAGGACTGGATGTGTGTTCCCAGCATACAGGGCTTGGTGATCCAGGATTGGGAGGATGCCGGGCTGGGACAGGACACTCTGTGCTCACGGGGCTGGGATGAGGATGTAGGAGGGAGGGAGCCTGTCCTGTCCTGATGGCCTCCCCCACCTGCTCTGACGAGAAGTGCAAGGGGTGACCTTTGCCGGCCCGATCCTCCTTTTCCTCGACGCCCTCCCCGAGTTCAGAAGTGTGTGTGTGTGTGTGTAGGGGAGCAGCCTTTTTTGGTTCTGACATTAGTCTGATGTCATGTGGCCCAGCATCCCTGGAGCCCAGCATAGACCGAAGCTGAGAAATTCTAGAAGAAGGTCTAGAAAGCCCAAGCCCTGGAGCATACCAGAGCGGTGGGAAACCATAAAGCTGTCATGAAACCATGCTAGAGCAGTCTGACTTGCACAGAGCTGCACATCATGCCCTGGGCTTTTTATTTCCAAATAAGTCCTGGTAAGTTCTCCGTTCATTACATCCATACTGGCAGGATGTATGGAAAAGAGCTGGCCTAGCCCAAAGTGACTTCAGACCCTATTTTTATCAGCATTTTGGGTGTGGCTGGAAACTCCAAGGAGGAGAGAGAGGCTCCTGGCTCCTTCCCCACAGACTTGACACTCCTAACATTGTTTGCAGTGTAGTTGTAGCCAGGTGGGTCCCAGCATGTTAGAGACAAGGTGGATGAGGGAATGTCTTTTATTGGACCAACCTCTGTTGGTGAGGGAGACGCGCTTTCCAGCTACACAGAGCTTTTCTTCAGGACTGTTCCAGCTACATACGAGGTGGAACAGATTGCTTAGCATAAGCGGTTAACACGTATTCTAAGGCACCCCTCAAGGTGAAGCGGCCCATTAACACCCCTACGGTCATAGGACAAAAAAGGGGAGGTTCTAAACTGTTCACGACTAGGAACAGGAGCCTGCAATCCATGTAAAGAGTCAAATCCTGGCCTCCCAGGTGGGTACCGATGGTCCCGAATGCAGCGACACTGCAGCAGCCAGGGGTGCAGTGCTGAGGGGATGAGCCTGGGGACCCTGCCTGCCACAGAGCACTGCTCAGGGGCAGAGCAGGAGCGTGCTCAGCGGGAGTGAGACCGTGCACAGTGGGTCTGCGATTGCGTGGGCCCACGGGTGCGGAAAGGCAGCAGCTGCTGCTAACATCACTGGGCGATAGCATATGCAGCCCAGAGCACCTGGCTTTTATGTTTATGCCACGTGATCTGTTTATGACGTGAACAGGTTGAACCGAGGAAGCTTCATGGTGCCATTCAGCTGCTCAGGGCCAGTGGGCGCCACAGCTGACATGGGCACTTTCAGGGGGGACCAGAGGGTAGTAGCCATTCCTCCCTCTGGCCCATATTGGCCGGCGCTGGTGTTGGCTCTCGAGCCCGGGAGTTTGAGCAGCATTCTGGGCACTGGAAAAGTTGCACTGCTGGCTCCTGCGTGATAGAAGGGCCAGCTAGGACAGACTAGCCTGAATCCTGGTAAGTCAGCAAAGGGCTTAAGAAGAGTTGTAGCAGTGGGCTTCCTGTTTGAAGTTTGCAGCCGTGGGCAGGGTTCATTTGACTCTTTTATAGCTTAATAGGGCCATAAATTACAGTTCTAGAATAGGTTCTGTGTCTGGTCTGGGAGCACAGCCAGCGAGACGGTCCTGGTTTCCTCGGGGCAGTGCATTCTCCCCAAGGAGTTGAGAGAGGGTAGGGGAGGAACTATGCAATATGGATTTGAGGGATTGTTGTATTCCAGACAAACACCCGCGTTGTATGGGGGCAGACGGCGGTCTGTGGGTTTAAGCCCTTCATCAAATGGAATGGTTTCTCCTGGCCTGACATCCCCAGGACAAAGACTGAGCAAAAGGTGGGAATGTCTTGTCCTTGTTTAGACTTATTGAGGGCTGGGCAGCTGGACTGTGCTGCAAAGCCAAGCCTGAGGTGGGGATCCTGGTAGTTATCTCCCTTCGCATCGTGTTCTCCTCCTCCACGCTCTGTGGAACAGTCATGCAGGAAGATGTGTGGGAGGAGCCGAGGAGGGTGAGAAATTCAGCTGTGTGTGGGGCAAGATGCCGACTGTTCGCAGAGTCACAACAAATTGGGCAATTGTGACGTCAGTCAAGACTCCTCCATATTCTCAGAAGAGCTGTCAGGAATGGCACTTCCCACCGTTTCAGACAGGCCCCATTAACACACCCAAGGGAGCACTCTGACCTTAAATAAACCTGTCGCACTTGGACTTGCAGAAAGCTTTTGGTCGCCCATCCCCCCACAGATCATCTTCACTCCCAGTAAACGTGGCAAGAGGGCAAGCTACTGGCAGGGCCCTGGGGCTTCAGCTACTGGAATTGGGCAAACCCCAGCAGGGGTGGGAGTGTGGTACAAGGTGGGGCTTAATTAGGACTGATGGAGGGAAATTAAGAAGGAGCAAAAGATACAAAAACTAACAGCAATTTTATTTAAATATATCAGAAGCAGGAAGCCTGCCACACTGTCAATGGGGCAACTGGACGAGGGAGGTGCTGAAGGAGCACTCATGGAAGATGAGGCCATTGTGTAGAAGCTAACAGAATTCTTTGCATTGGTCTTCACGATTGAGGATGTGAGGGAGATTCCCATACCTGAGCCATTCTTTTTCAGTGACAAATCTGAGGAACTGTCCCAGATTGAGGTGTCATTAGAGGAGGTTTTGGAACAAATTGATAAATTACACAGTAATAAGTCACCAGGCCCAGATGGCATTCACCCAAGAGTTCTGAAGGAACTCAAATGTGAAATTTCAGAAGTATTAACTGTGGTATGTAACCAATCGCTGTAATCAGCCTCTGTACCAGACGACTAGGGCCCAATCAAATTCACAGTCCACTGTGGTCAATTTCATGGTCATAGGATTTTAAAATTAGCTAATTTTATGGTTTCAAATGTGCACATCTGAAATTTCATGGTGTTGTAACCATGAGGGTCCCAACCCAAAAGGGAGTCATACGGGGTCATAAAGTTATAGGGGGGTTGCGGGATTGCCACCCTCACTTCTGCACTGCCTTCAGAGCAGCGGGGCAAGGTACCCGGAGGTGGGTGTGATCTCCCCTCGAGAGCAGCCCATGCAGGTGAAGAGGAATCCTGTCCTGCTCCAGCCCCACCGAGACTAGCAGCTGGAGCCCAGGGCACAGTAGGAGCCCCTGGCTGGGATACCGCCAGTCCTGCCCCTTCCCCTGCCGTCCAATAGCTAGATTTCACTGGGAAGATCTGATTTCACGGTCCTGACCTGTTTTACACAGCTGTGAATTTGGTATGGCCCTACAGATGACCGGTGGATAGCTAATGTAATGCTGATTTTTAAAGAAGCCACCAGAGGTGATCCTAACAATTACAGACTGGTAAGACTCACTTCAGTCCCAGGCAAACTGGTTGAAACTATAGTAAAAAAACAAAATTATCAGACACCGAGATGAATATATGTTGGGGAAGAGTCAACACAACATTTGTAAAGGGAAATCACGCCTCACCAATCTGTTAGAATTCTTTGAGGGGATCAACAAACGTGGACAAGGGGGATCCAGTGGATACAGTGTACTTGGACTTTCAGAAAGCCTTTGACAAGGTCCCTCACCAAAGGCACTTAAGCAAAGTAAGCTGTCATGGGATAAGAGGGAAGGTCCTCTCATGGGTCGGTAACTGGTTAAAAGACAGGAAACAAAGGGTAGGAATAAATGGTCAGTTTTCAGACTGGAGAGAGGTAAATAGTGGTGTCCCCCAGGGGTCTGTTCTGGGACCAGTCCTATTCAACATATTCATAAATGATCTGGGAAAAGGGGTAAACAGTGAGGTGGCAAAATTTGCAGATGACACAAAACTACTCAAGATAGTTAAATCCCAGGCAGACTGCCAAGAGCTACAAAAGGATCTCTCAAAACTGGGTGACTCCCAGAGGTCGATTATGATTTACTGAGGCTGTGGCCACAAAGAACATTTGGGCCCCTCACACTCTGGGTTCTAGGGGTGTCGGAGCCGGAGGGGCTGTGGTCCCACCCACTTTTTAACATGAGCAGGCAGAAAGCTCAGCCCCTGCTAGCAGCGCCAGCCTCTTCCCAGTGGGAGAGGGCTGAGGTGTGCCGTAGCTGCCCGCCCTATGGGGCCCTGCCCCCTGCTCCTCCTCAATTCCCCCAGGTCCCTAAGAGCCACCCACGGAGCCTGGGCCACTGTGGGGAGCTCTGGACCCTCCACCTGTCCTGGGTGGCATGCCCCAGGGGGCAAGGACATGGGCT